TCCCCGGGTTTATTCATTTAAGTGTTCCGTTAAGCACCTTCTGTGCGCCAGGGATTGCAGCCCCGTAGCTTGAACCGCTTTTTCCAAAAACAACCAAGCCACACCAAACGCACTGCCACTGGAATGGAACGCCCAGTCTGCTGGTGGTTTCAAACTGCCGTGTGGCTCTCAGCCCAACACGTAACCACTGTGCCACTGGGCTCCCTTGACCGTTTTCATTTTCAAGAAGATCCCGCAGAATACTGCCTCTGCTGCAGGACCTGCCACAGACAGAAGGCACGGAAGCGTTGGTTGTGTGGAATAACAGTTGGGAAAACCAGACCAGACTCTCGGCCATCAAGTCGATTGTAACTCACAGCAAGCCTGTGGGCAGAGCAGAACTGCCCAGTGGGTTCCCAATGAAATGGTTCCCAGAGCAGACAGCCTCGCTTTCTTCCGTGGAGCAGTGGGTGGGTTCCAACTGCTGACCTTGAGGTGAGCCGCACAATGTATACCAACCGTCCCCTGGTCGATTCCTCTCATAGTGACGCTCAAGGGCAAAGCAGAACTGCCAGCTGACCTTGTGGTTAGCTGCCCAGCTCGAAACCCACTACACCACCAGGGCTCCCAAAGAGGAGGGGGCCTGAGGGGGGTGTTACAATGACCAAAACCGTCTATGGAGGTGTGGTTATAGAATGTCATGTCAACTTGAAAATATATAAAAGTATAGAGATGGTATTCAACCTCACAATCAGGTCACAGCCTGTTAGTACCTCCTTGTGGGTGTGCCCTTCTCATAAGGAGGGTCCTGGGAACCTCACACACACACACACACACACACACACACCAGCCCTCTGCCTTCACCTTCCTGCTGGCAAACCACTGGGAGACCTGCCAGAGCCCTGGGAGGAGCTGTGCCACTGGATCCACGTGGCCTGTGACCTTCCTGCATTCTGCATCATTGCATGTGGCTGCATGAGAGACTTACGGACTTGAGTTGGACTGGGCTGGGATGTTTTCCTGAAACAATCACTTCTTGATATGAAGCTCCTTACACAGATAGGAGTGTCACTGGATTTGTTTCTCTAGTCAGCCCGGCCTCACACAGGGGAGTGGGGTTTCATGGGACCCTGTCACTGATTTAATGAGACGGCTGTGCAACGACATGGAATATATTTCTCTTTAAATATATATATAAACAGTAAACAAAATTTAAATTTAAAAAGAGAGTCAAGGTTCACAGCCTTCAAATCCCTGCAGACTCCTTCCCCCGCCGATCTGACCGTTGGTCTGAGCAGCTATACAAGGAGGGCAAGTAAAACAGACTGGACTTGGATTCTTTTGTGACGGACAAGTTCGTTTCAAACAAGCAAGCAAAAACAGAGTTGCAGTCTGGGAAACCCACAGCGGCAGTTCTCTGTCCTATAGGGCCCTGTGTGTTGTCATCCACTGGGTGCCAGTGAGCTTGATTCCGTTTTCCACCCCAGAGGACTCATCTTTCTGCAGGTTTTTAAATGCACGCTCACCAGCCCCCCACACAGTTTGTGGCATCACAGCCACATGCAAACCACCACAGTCCAGTGACAGCCTCCCCCGCCTGTGGTGGTTACCTGTGTGGGGACGCCTAAACCTGTCTACGTCTAGACATCTCCGCCTGGCCACCACCTTCAGCCTCCAACTACCAGCTGAGGTGCTTGCACCGGAAGGTGCCACAGACATGCCGCCTGGACGTGTTCCAGCAAGCTCATCCCGGATTCGATCTCTCCCTGGCTGGCATCACCATCACCATTTATTGTTGCAAAGGTCCGTGGCCCCACCTTCTGCCTCTCTTTTCTACTGACCCACAGAGCGTCCCATTTAGAATTCTCAATTGCAGACCAGACACGGATGGTTGTGGCAATCCCAGCCATCGTCTTTTTTTGTGTCTGAATTCAGCTGCCTCTGAAGTGTTTCGGCAACAGGTGAGTCATCTGTGGGTGCACACACCTCCTCGCCTTCCCGCATTTTGCACACTAGGTGTGCCCTCTGAAGGAAGTATCTGCATTTCTGTCGTCTCTAGCTCTACTTCTTTGTTTACTGTTTCTTTCACTGTCTTTCCCCACCGCCCCTCACCCCCTGAAGCCCCTCAGTTCAGCACCTGCTGTGACCCATACATTGCTTCTGGTTGCTTTTATTTTAACGACTCCACAGTCTATCAGTTAAGCCTAGCTAATTCAACACTTTTATAAATAGATCAACTTTAGATTACTGGGATATATGTTCATCACAATTTATATATTAGAGCAACATAACAGGGTTGGGACCAAATATCCTAATGACTTAGGCCTTTCCGCATATATAAATGGAGCCTTGGTGGCGTAGACTTTAAGAGCTCGGCTGCTTAACTGCAAGGTCAGTGATCTGAACCCACCAGCTGCCCTGAGCAAGACAGATGCGGCAGTCTGTATGGAGCAGTTCTGCTGGGCCCTACAAGGTCGCTATGCATTGGAATCAACCCAAGGGCAGTGGGTGATGATTATTTGATTTACATGTAGACTAACATACCTCTCCTGTGATGCACAGGAGCCCTGGTGGCAGAGTGGTTACCCATTGGGGTGCAAGCCACAAGGTCAACAGTTTGAAACCACCAGCTGCTCCATGGGAGAGAGCCGGGACTTTCAACTCTCATAGAGTTAGTCTCTGAAGCCCACAGGGGCACTTCTACCCTGCCCTATAGGCTCTCTGAGTCAGAATCAACTCGATGGCAGTGGGTGAGTCCTGCGATTCAGAACAAGTGTGACTTGGTAGGTGGCTCTGTCGGCCCTGTTCACATAAGGAATCTCACTGGCATCAATATAGACGTATCCTCCCCAAGTTTATGTGGGACATTCACTCTCCCACTCAGAAAGGTGGTGGACTGGGAAGACAGTCAAGGTGCAGGGTGTTGGGAAGTGAAGGAGCTAGGGACACTGACTATCGCAAGAAGAGTGAATGCCCTCTCATTGTGTGTTCTGGATTGCTGGTGCTCTGGCTGGGGCTAGGTCCATAGATGGTGACATGTTTAAAAGGTGATGAGGCAGATCTTGTCATAAGTATTTTGGGGTACCAAGGAGACCCTAAATCTCAAATATCATTTAAGGCAAAGAATGGCTAAGTCTTAACAGAGACAAAGACAACACAAAGATACAGACACATCCTCCAGGTGAGGGAGACCAGAAGCACGGGGTCATAATCCAAGGACTCACAGTCAGAATGCTGGTGAAATAAGGCAGGGAACAAAGAAAACTGTCATAAGCTCTCACTTGGTGACAGATCCATACATCACAGGCACAGGTGAGAGTGCAGAAGCCAGACACGATTACGGATCAGACACACAGGTACGTTCTGTCAGACCCAGAAGGGCTTATAAGATTGGTCCATGGCCTTCTGACCAAGGCAATGGGGACACCACTGACAGGGCATGTCTCATGACTGTATGACCCCCTTTTGTCCCCAGTACAGTGACCTCCATCCAGGGCAAGCCCCTAGGAAAGACTGCCCCTCCCTGGGCTGGCTGGAGAAGGGTGGAGTTAAGCCAGTTTTTGATCCACTCTGCCAGAGGGCATGATCATCCACATCCTTGGTTAAAGTTCTGGAATTCCATGGAGGCTTAATCGATGTGGGTACTCTACAGATGGATCTGGGGCGTTTCCTGTCATCCAGAGCTGTCTGCAAACCAGGGTGCTCAGAAGGTAAGCTTTTAAATAAAGTTATCTGCGGGAGACTGTGCTTGCGTAGAAGAGGGAGACCCTCGACGAGGTGGGTTGACACAGTGGCTACTACAGTGGCTCAAACGTAACGATTGTGAAACTTGCTCGGGTCTGGGCAGTGTTTCGTTTTGCGGTGCTCAGGGTCACGATGAGTCGAGGTGGAATCCACCGCACGCCACCACAGCCACACGTCGTCGGACTGCTCCACTGCTGCTTCCGTGCGTGTCGAAGGTGGAGCCACATAAATCCTGAGCTGCTCAGACATCTCCGTCCACAGAGGTAGTGAGTTTGGTTCCTGCGTTTTCCGTCTGGCCGGGTTCATGAGTGTAGCCTTCCTTTGTGCTGTTGAGGAGGATCTCTGTCGTGAGTAAGTCATTGGTCTTTCACAGTTCTACCATGTGGTCCCGGGCTGTTTCTCAGCTCCAGATCCTTCTTCTTGGTCTCACTTTCCAATTCCAGACTCCATTGAAGACCCGTGCACCGTGACGGCACGTGTGACGCAGTTCACGGTGAAGAAGTGAAAAGCCATCTCCACCTGGTTCATCAGTGGCTTTAGTGGCTGGTGGGTAAAACCAGAGTACGGGTCATATTACCTGCACTTCCTCGTGGGCGCAAGGTCATATCCTGTCACAGATAGCATCGGACTTCCAGACAGATCTTGACATGTTCTTTTATGATGACTGCGACACCCTTCCTTTTGAATCGGTCATTCCCAGCATAGGGACCAGAGGACTGCCCGATTCTACAGGGCCACTACAAGTCCATTTCCGCTCATCATGCCTGGGGCATCGATCTTTATGCCTGCCACTGACTTTTTGATAACTTCCAACTTTCCCAGATTCATTCTTCATACATACATCCCACGTTCCAAGTACCAATGGGAGTTTCTGCTGTTTCCACTCATTTGAGTCACAGCCCATCAGCAAATTAAGATCTTGGAAGCTGTGCTCCGTCCACGGAGGCTGTCTCAACCTTGAGGATGTAGCTCTTCCCCAGCCATGTTTTTAGTGTCTTCTACCCTGAGGGGTTCACTTCTGGTATTGCATCAGGCCATGTCCCACCGATGTTCAGAACGTTTCAGTGGCCAATCCTTCAGAAGTGGACTGCCGATTCCGTCTTCACAGCCTGGAAGCGCTCCTGAAACCTATCGGCCCTAGGACACCTGCTGGTATTTGGAACACAGGTGGCCTAATGTACAGCATCACAGCAACACGCAAGCTACCACAGGAGGACCTAATGACCGATGAGTGATGCTTTGTTACCTTTACTTCTTAATTAGACTCTTAAGGGTGTATCGGTATTACTGGTCTTTACACCAAAGCCAAACTCACTGCTCTGGAGTCAATGCTGACTCGTACTGACCCTGTAGGACAGGGGAGAACGGCCCCTATGGGCTTCCAAGAGAGACTAAGTCTTTGTGGAAACTCAAAGCCCCGTCTGTCTCCCATGGAGCACCTGGTGGTTTCAAGCTGCTGACCTGGCAATTGGCAGCCCAGTGCATAAGGACCGCATCACTCGGGCTTGCTAGTCTTCACAAAGAACACGCACTTTTTAATGATTATTTTACTAAGAGAATGATGTGGTTACAAGGCGTCATACATCTTTGCCTTTGATGATGAAGAGGAATTTACAATGTATTTCCACATACGAAATATCAAAGAAGCTCTTTAAAAAATAAAGCCACAGAATAAACAAAACAGCCAACGATATGATAGAGAGAAAATAAGGAGGATAATAGTGATAGACAGAGTCCTAGCTGGTGGGGTTGTTGGGTTAGCATTGGACTGCTAATGGTAAGGTTGGCAGTTCAAACCCACCAGCCCCTCTGAAGGAGGAAGATGAGGTTGTCTGCTACTATAAAAATGTCCAGCCTTGGAAACCCCATGTAAGGTCATTACGAGTCAGAATGGACTTGGTGGCAGTAGAGTAAATATAATTCAGACCTTTTTAAAAAGTACCACCAAGGTCAATTTATTTGGTGAGAAAGGAGAGTCAAGTTGGTATTGCAAAGGAAAAGGGTTCCTCAGGTATCCAGTGTCTTGCCCCAAAGTGTTGTGTGGTATTTGAGTGTTGTTGTCAAAGGATATTATATATCCAGGTAGTTTCTTTTGTATTTCCTGTCATTTTATTTATTTTATAAACAGTTTTATTAGGACATAATCCAAATAGCATACAGTTCAAAGCAAGAAGAGTTGTACAATCACCATCACAATCAGTTTTAGAACTTTTCCTTCATTCTTGTACTCGTCATTATTAATTAGCTCCCCGTTTCCCCCAACATCCCCTGCTATGTCCACAAGGAACCTTTAACCCAGTTACTGTCTCTCTGGATTCAACCATCCAAGAACATACAAAAGCACAGTATGTTCAGGTATTTTCTGTCATTAGCAAAGCAGACTGCATTTGTTAACACCTTTCTTCTAAACGAAATAGCAAAATTGATAACATTTCTAAGAAAGTCGAAAACATTTTGACCCAAAGGTGACTCACAAGGGCAAGAATAGGGAGCAGTCCCAACCAGGAGTTGTTCCCGGGCAGGCAATGCATGTGTGGTGGTGGGTTGGTTCTTAAATCTCTCTGTTAATTTAGGAGTATTAAAAGTATGATGTATGACGATTCATAAAAGGGTCATGTTGGGGATTTTAGAATTGAAGGCATCACTAAGGAACATGATCCCTCCATTTCACATATCCACCTGGTTCCTGGTAATAACGCCAGCTCCTAGCCTTTGAGAGACCCAAAAGAAAAAGACAAAATTTTGCACACACACTGTAAGAGGCACAATCTTTCAGGAAAGAAACTGAGAGGACCTGAGCCCTCAAATTCATTAAATTTACCTTCTACCAGCACCGGCACTTTCTGTGAACTCTGACCTTTGAGTGTGGTCACTCACTGATAATTGCTGTGACTTGTTTAGATAGTAATGCGAGATTTTGCCGCAACTACTTTGGACACATTATCAGGAGACACCCGTCCCTGGGAAAGGACATTCTGCTTGGAGGGACAGTGAGAACGAGAAAGGCAGAAGGCAGTCAAGGAGACGGCTCGTGCAACAAAAGGTCAAGCTTAAGGACCGCTGTGAGGATGGCGCTGGACCGGCCGGGCTTCCTTCAGTTGTGCATAGAGTCGCTGTGCGTCCAAAACGGACTGGGCAGCGCCCAGCAACATCACTTACTTATCAATAAGGATCTGTATCGTATAGAAACCGGGAAGCAAAATTTAAAGCCGTAGAATAAACAGAACAAGCAATTATATGGCAAAGAGCCAAAATAATGGGGGTAAGAGTAGTGAATAAATATAAGTTTACCACAGCCTCTCTCGTCACAAATGAGCTCAGTTTCATATTACTTTATACCTAGACCCTCTATGAGATGGATTGACACTGGCTGCCACAGGGGCGCACACACCACACGTGAGGATGATGTAGGACCAACCTCTGCTGTACCTGGGGTCCTTCAGTGAGCTGACCCTCACTTGCCGCCACCGACCACCACCAAATATTAGTATAATATCAATATATTTGTAACATAACAGCGATTTACACTGGGCAATAAAAGCAATCTGATGTATTTTTTGTGTACCTTCTTATTGAATCCTTTTATGCTATCTATTTTTCATTGTAATAGAATTGTCACTTTATTACTAATATTAATATTATCTTCTTACTGCTAGTCATGCTATGGACATTAACAGTGTCCATTTTATTACTGATATTCTGTAGTCTTTAACCTATTCCATCTGTATAGATTCTTATTAATTCTTCTAACAACACTGGATATAAAAGTACGTTGTCCAGGGTCTACATATTAGTTCCATTGGCCAGAAAACTTAATCATGTACCAATTCAGTATCTTTTCCCATGAGAAAATATGCATGTTCTTCCTGAGAGCTCATTCGGTAAAAGTGCCCAATCCTTTCTACACACACACACATACACGCTCACTCGGTAAAAGTGCCCAATCCTTTCTACACACACACACACACACACACACACACACATGCGCACACGCACATCTCCACATGCCACACCTCATCTTTATCCCGCAGCCCCTCCCCTCCCCTGGAAGCCTCTCTTCCATCCTTGAATTTACCTTCGGTTTACCTGCTCCTTGCACAAGTCACATCACCACCTGAGACAGTGCTGAGCAGCTTCAACCTAATTACCCCTGTGATGACTACTCTCCCGGAGGTCAAGGTCTAGGCCTGTCCTAGCCGTAAATTCCCCTGAGCTCATCCAACCCCCCAAACTGGTTCTGTTCCTGTTTTTACACATCTCAGCAAATACAGGGAGCTAAGGGAGCAAGCAGCCACCCACCTGGTTAGCTAAGTTATAAACGGATCCCTCTGGCTGCTGCAGCACGCCCAGCTATCGCCTCTACCTTCACCTTGTTCCCCCAAACGCATGCTGGGTCTTTCTGCTTCTCCTCCATCTCATCCAGGTGCCCTTCGCCTCTGACACTCGGCAACAACATCCTCACAGTCTCTCTACTTCCACTCTTGTTGCCTTCAGCTCCCAAGTCTACCCGGGAACCAGAGGACGGTCTTAAATAAATGTCGGTCGTTTCCTCTCACTGCCCTGCTTAAAACCATCCGATGCCTTGTACCCGAACGCACTGCGGATGCAACCCCAGCTGCCCAACCTCAAAGCTGGAAAGGGGCCAGCCCGCCCTCCTCTTCCATCTTGTCTTTGCAAGACAGTGCTCGGACACATTGGCCACGCCTGCGTTCCCTGCAGGCTCCAAGCTCTCTCACACGAGGGCCTTTGCCCTCGCTCTGCCTGCTGCCCAGCATCTACTTCCCCCAGGCCTTTGCCTAGCTGATGTTTTTTGTCATTCACCTTTCAGCTTTCTTTTTCCCTACCTCTCAGTTTTCATATCATCCTTGTGGAAAGCTCCCTGGCCATCAATCTGTCACACCGTCCAGACTCCCTCTCCCGTTCCCTGGTGTGTTTCCTTCCTTGCTCTTCTCGCTGGTTCGAGCCAATGTGTGTGTGAGTTTAACGACTGTGCACCCCGTAATGAAGCTGGACCTCTCTGTTAGAGCGGGGAAATCTGAAGACCTGGCTCTATCTGTTACAGCGGGGAAAGGAAAGGTTCTCCTATGGACACTGGCTTCTTTTAAAAGCCCGAGGGAAGCTCTGTGTCTATGGAGCTACCACGGTGCCATTCTTCAAGTTGTGCAAAGATCTTTTCCAAATTCTTCCACCATCATTAAGATAGCCCCTCCCTCCCACCCTGCTCCCCCTCTTGCACCCTTGCAAGCTTCTCAATGACCCTTTAGAGCTGCTGCTGTCATTTAAACCCTGTTCCATCGATTGTTGACACGCTCAACAGAGGAAGATCGTCTTTCACCCAATGGTGATAGCACAACTGGTTATCTCCATGCAAGAGAAGGAATGTGTCGTTTGAAACGCCACCTGGTACTGCAGACAAAACTTAAGTTGAAAATGTCGTAAAGACTTAAAGGTAAGAGTTAAAACTGTAAAGCTCGTGGAAAGAGACCTAAGTGTGGGTGTCCATAACGTTGGTGTAGCAGTGGTTTCTTCAACGCAACACTGAAACACAAAACAAGGAAAAAGTAGGTAAACTGAACTTCATTAAAATGTGTCAAAAGATACTACCAAGAAAGTGAAGAAAACAACAACAAAGAAGCCCTAGACCACAGAATGAAAATATTTTCAAGTCATATATCTGGTAAGGGTTTGGAAAAGCTAGAATATGTAAGAGGCAGCTTCAGTAAGGATCTACTATCCAAAATATCTATAAGGTGTCTATAACTCTACAAGAAGAAGATAAATAACCCAGCTAAACAATGGGCAACGAACATGAACAGACATTCCACCAAAGAGGACAGTCAGGCAGCAGACAAATACCTGGAGAAGGTGCTCACAGGTCTTGGCCATGAAAAGACCCCAAACCAAGCCCACTGCCATCAAGTCGAGTCCAACTCCGAGAGACTTGATCTCGGGACCCCAGGACTGTGAGTCTTTATGGGAGCAGACAGGCTCATCTTTCTCCCAAAGAGTGGCCGCTAGGTTTGAGCCATAGGCCTGTGGTTCCCTTACCTGACAGCACCACCAGGGCTCCTTAGGGAGATGCAGCTCAAACTACAATAGTATTGTTTCACCATGCTAGCATGGATAAAAAAAGGGGTGGGGGTGGGGCGGGAGAATAAGTGTTGGAGAGGATGTGGGAAAGTGAAATCCTTATCCACTGTTGGTGGGAAGGTAAGATGGTATTACCACTCTGGAAACCAGTATGGTGATCCCTAAAAATAGTGAAAATTAAAGCTACCATATAACCTAAAGAGTCCATATATTTTTAAATCCTCTTTTATCCAAAGCTGTGTATTTAATTAATTTTTTTTAACAAAACAATCTTATCACCTTTAAAGTACTCTCCATTACACTAACTGTATAGACTGGTGTATAAGCTGAGTTTTTCAGCACATTTTTAATGCAGTTTTTGTGGTAAAATTAGGTGCCTTGGCGGATATTTGGGTCAGCTTAAACTCGAGTTTATATGGTAATATATTTGTCAAATCTGTGATTCCATTCTTGGAAACATTTTTCAAACTCATCTGTTTGGATGGCTGACAGCATCCCTTGTTTCTTTC